GGTGAGGTGAATGATTAAGTCAGCTCAGTCCTCTTTATCCAAAATCAAACCATTCAGTATTTCTAATCTGAGCCTGGTAGATGTAAAACATGCAGCTTTTCATCTACAAATGAATGGTGTATTTGGAGTGAGGAGGAGCATTTACAACCTATCGATAAATCACACCGAATCAAACAGACAGGCTCAAGAGCAGTGATTCCAACTCACAGGAGAAGGCAATTGGAACATTTCCCAAGTGCAGCCTGACTGTCATACAAGCACAGGAGGGGACAATAGAGGTTGAGTCTCAGAGAATGCATGCATTATTCAGCTAATGTAGAGACTCTTCACTCACAACCAGAGAGACAGGAAGCCCATCACAATCAGAGCAACCTCGAAAAGCAAGGACTAGTTCTTACTATGTGCCAGGCATTGGAGGCAGGAGAAACCGGGCACAAAAGGGTATACTCAGAGCATGAAAGATGACAGCCATTTTCCTAGAAATTCACAACAAGAGATGCTTCTCAGAATGACATCCTAAATACTGAACAGAAGTTCTCTCCTTCTAAATGGTTCTATAAATATTTATTAATTCCATGTGCCAGGTGATAGTCTAATCCTAAGGCTCTCAATCAGCCCAACAAACTTTCTACACTCCTTCTCAGTAGAGTGATTTTGTAGGCATAAAAACATGATGCAGCATTTAAATGTGTAAGACCAAACACACCAAGGAAACATATATGGTTTTGAAATGTTATATTGACATCATATACTACTTTAATATATGTATAATATACATACTATATACAAATTATATATACATTATAATACACATTAGTATAATAGGCTAAATTTTTAAAAAGCTAACTCATTTTGAAAAAGATATATTTTATTTTTGTTATGTGCATGGGTGTCTGTGTGAGGGGCTGTGTGCACATCAGTGCAGGTGTCAGAGGAAGCTGGAAGAAGGTATGAGACTCCTTGGAGCTGGAGTTAAAAGCAAATGTGAGTCACTAAATGTAGATGCTGGGAACTGGCTCTGGGCCTCTGCAAGAGCAGCAGGTGTTCTTAACTTCTGAGCCATTTCCCCAGCCCCCTGGCTGTTTTGCTTTTTACTGTATCCATCAACCTATCATCCTTCCTTCTTCAAAGAATCTTCCTTCCCTACAGTTTATCTTCCTTCTTTCTTTCTAAGAAAGTCTCTCTGTCTCTTTCTCTGAGTATGTGGGTATCTCTGTCTATCCGTCTGTTGTGTTTCTCTGTCTATATATCTTTTTCTACCTCTGTCTCTGCTTCTGCCTCCTCTCTGTCCCTCTCTGTCTATGTTAGTCTGTCTGTCTCTTCTGTCCCTGTCTCTCTCTTTGTCTTTGTTTGTTTGTCAGTCTATCTCTGTCTGTCTCTTCTGTCTCTATCTCTCTCTGTCTTTGTCTCTTCTGTCTCTGTTTCTCTGTGTGTGTGTGTGTCTTTCTCACCCCCCCACCCCGTGTGTGTGTGTGTGTATGTGTGTGTTTGATGGGGACTAGAATCCAAGGCTTCACACATGCCATGTAAGTATTTTACCACTGATCCACACTCCCAGCCCCATATACATTTTTACAAGTGTTCTCCCGGTAGCTTTCTAACAGTCCATCCCTTGCGAACACTGCTTGGCAGGGATAGTATTTCAAGACATGAATAATCACAATGTAATACCAAAAATAATCTATGATCTCCTTTCTGACATGCTCTGAGTGACTGCTAACACTGCTGATCTGGAAGGTTCACAGAACCTGAAACAGCAGGAAATGACAGATGTCAGTTGGTGCAGGTGACACAGGCGGAAAAAGAAATACTTCCCACCAATATTCACAGGTTCCGTCTGTCACTCCATTGAGAATCTGTAGACCCTGATCAGGAACTGTCATGCAGGAAGAACCAACCATGATGTACAAATAGAGAGAAGCCTGCAGGTGCGTGGCAGACTTGAAAGAACGAGAGCACAGTGTGACGCACGCTCACAGTGCAAACAAGAACAAAACTGGCAGCAGCTGCGGAAGCCGTGGGACTGAACGCTTTGACCTTGCCTTTCAATTTTTTGACCTGGAAAACCCAGAGAGCAACAATATCAGATTTGGATTCTGAAACTTCAGGTTCATACTAAGATAGAATATATTTCATACGGTTCTTTAGATCTTCTTTTTCTATTAAACACATTACTTGAGACCACAGAGCAGAAAACAGAGTTTTCACTTTTGAGCCTCTCGAGTTTGTTCCCTTTCTACCAGCAGTAGGGTTATCACAAAGATAAAAACAAGGAGACATTCTGGAAGGATCCATTTTGACATAAAAACCATTTAGTTAAAAATTCACTTACAGACCTTAAGCTAATGTAAACCTACCAACAGCCAATTTTCATGAACTTTTTAGATTTGACTTCTCCCAGGCTTACCAACCAGGGGATAAGGGTGCCCTCAGCCTCCTGTCCAGTCCATGGCTGAGAGCTGTTGTCTTTCCCTTTCACTGTTTCACTGGCATTGCATTCTTTTCTTCTTCCTCACAGCAGGGAAACAGGACCTCAGATATTTGTTCAAAAATACAGGAGCATCAAAGAATAGACAAAGACACCACTTCCCTTTCCACCAGGCAAAAGGTCTCCCTGATCTCCCCAGTCCAGTCACTGACCAGGAAATAAGATGGAGATGTTGCTACATGTTGTTACAGAGAAGCCATCTTTGTCCACTGATCATTAAGTCCTAGAGAAATTTTAAATGAACAAAGACTATGAGGTCATTGAACACTCTCTAATGAACCAGCTACATCAAATCAGATGTTCCCTATCAGATATTTTCTCTGGGATAATTGGTCCACAATCCCAGAGAAATTCATTTGTTTATAGATGCTCTTGGAAATAGTCTGTGCATTCTCACAACTTAACTGAATTTGTGTGTGTGTGTGTGTCTGTGCATGTGTGTTTGTGTGTGTCCATACATGTGATAGGTGTTCATTGTGTTTATAAGTACATGTGTGTTTGTGTGTATGCATGTTTATGTACACACGTGATGTGTATACATGTATGTGTATATAAAGTGTATATCTGTCTATGCACATACATGAGTGTACATGTGTATATTATGTGTGTGCATTTGTGTGTATGTGTGTGTGTGTTATATGTAGAAGTGTGTTTATATGTGTATGTTTATTTGGGTAAGAGATGTTCTCGACTAAACCCTCATTCACCTCTCCACAATTGCACCACTTATTGGTTCTACCCAGTCTTTTCTGGATGGAGAAGTTAGAATTGATTATTCCCTCTCTGTACTTCCACAATAACACATGTTTGACTCAGTCAGAGGTATTCAAAGCTGGAAGAAACCCTTGTGTCTGTTTTCTCACTGTCTTGCCTGGGGAGACAAGCAAAGTGAAAGTATATGAATAATTTTCATGTAAATTCCAATCCAGTTTATCACTCATTTCTAAATGTCACCATCTAACTAGCCACATTATTACCCAATATAAATCCAATTCAAATCACAGGACAGGAGAGTACCTGCCTGGTGTGTGCTTTGTTCTGTACAGAAAAGTTTCTTAATCCTCTCTGATGTTGGGATGGCAGTTAAGAGTGTGCCATTTCCCTCCACTCAGCCTTTTTATCGTAATGAATGTTTGTGGGTGGGTGCGACCTGAGACAGAGGTGGCCTGTGGGTTCCAGGTTCAAGATGCCTTCCGGTCAGTCCATCCCTGACTCTTCTTTGCCAGGGAGTGAGTGCCTGACTTGCTGTCAGAGCAGTGTTTCTGCACTGGAGATGATGGGGGAGCACTGAAGACAGAGACACACCCGGCAGTTGCTGGTCAGCATCCTTTGTGACTGATAGGGACCCTCCCATGGAATCTCCTCCTTCACATTTATATGTCTGCTATAGGGCCTCTTGTGATAAAATCAGATCCAGGTGCTTTGCTCTGCCCATTTAGAACAGAATCTTTGAGAACAAAGTGGAGACTCTCTCCTAGAGTTACAAAGAGATTACAAAGGTCCTTCCTTATTTCTGTGATAGGTGATGGCTCACTGTAAACACTCTCCCCTGCTAGCCTATAGATAGAAGATAGATGTTATGGAGAATAGTGAGTGATATATGATGTTTTGGTCTCTAAAGTCTGTCTGAGGAGACACATGCAGAGGCAGAGTCTTCTGTTTCTGTTGGTGAATACAGTGGTGAAGGCAAGCACCAGAGATCAGGCATGTCAGCCATGGGCCAGACTAAAGGGCCTGGTGGAAGACACCCCATAAAATCCCTATCTGAGTTAAGCATCAAAAGTTGAGAGAAGAAAAGAAAAATAATACATCCTGATGAATAAGTAAAATGGAGGTGAGATGGGGAAGGCTGAAAGAATTGATAGTGGGGACAGAGCGTAGGAAAGGCAGCTGGATGGTGTGTCAGTGGAGCTCCAGTTTGCTCTCACAGTCATAAGCAACACCTCATCAACAGCAAACGTTCATGCTTCCGTCACAGTTGAGAGAAACTGTTTTCAGTCTGTGCTGGCCACACCAGTCTCACTTGGTTCCATGTGTCTTCCTCATTCTGGGATTAGGACCAAAGCAGGACCCACATCTGGAACACATTACAGTCACAGTCGAAGCAGAAGAGGCAAGTTAGGAGAGTCCCAGGACTCTTAAAGCCTTCGATCCCATACAAGCCAATCATATTTAACCTTCTCCTAATTGATTAGTCATCTCATGTCACCCAACCATGCCTAATATTAAGAGGAGAGAATTTGCTGCCAGCAGGAATCCAGGACTAGAGTGGAGGGAGGTGGAGTTGGCATGAAGGAAAGGCTTGAGAAGCTAAGCATCGACAATGTGAGCTTTAGAACCTAAAGACCATGGGCAGGTGAAAGGTTTCCCTGTGAACAAAGGTCTCAATACAATCAGGTCAGCATTCTCCGGGACCCTGTATTCTTCGACAGTGCGGACTGCTATAAAAAAATAATAAAACAAAACAAAATAAATAGATATAGACTAACGGGCTTAAGCAACAGAAACCCACCTCTTAGGATTCTGGACAGGTGTGCTCTAAGATCACGGTTGGCTTCTAATAGTTTCTCTCGCTGGTTTGAAGAAGGCCTTTAGGTCAGAGCTCCCATATCCACAGCTCTGAATCATGGGTAGACCTTGGCAGAACCTTCAAGCACTGACATTGGCTCATAGCCTTCAAATACAGTGAAATAACCCACCATCATTTAGCAATCCTTACCTTGCTACTTTTTGTTTCGTAACAAAATGCAACTTGTTTTTCTAAAAGCCAGGCTAGCACAATTCTCTTCTCCTCTTTTTCCTCCCACCCCTACCCTGTTCCTCTTTAACCATAATAATACTGGTTCTTCAAAGTTGCACTCATTACTTCCAGAACTATTTGATAACTCCTGGATTATCTCTCATAAGTACCCAACAAGGTCATTTTGTATTTTGAAATCTAGCCTAGAGTCTGACATGGTCGAGGAAAACACAATAAAAAAGAGGCAAGAATAAATGATGGGTGACATCATGGAGAATATTTTCTATCCTCCCTCAATAACACTTGTAGGCTTTGTAGGCCCGGCTTGTCTTTGAATAATTAAATGCTGTGTCCTGAATATAATCAGAGACATGACTCTGTGTAAAGAAGGGGAAGAGGGTGAAATGGAAGAAGACCTTTCCAGAATGTCTCCAACCCTAGCAGGGATCAGTCTTTTCACTACCTGTTCAATCTGGCAGGGCTGGTCCCCCAAGCCACGGGACTTGGTACTTTGCTTCCCGTCTTCTGCCCATCAAATCTCTTTACACCGGTGATCTAATTAGCCAGGCTGCAGGACCAGCAGAGGACCAGGCAGGCTCACTTGGCTCGTTAAAAGTTCCCAGTCTCCTGCTTGGGAAATTGTTCTCTAGTTTTACCAGAGCTGTTTGCCTTTTGCAGATCTCAGGGGAGAGAGGCAGGGCTAGTTGAATTCCTGGTAAGGCCCCTTGGCTCAAGGCCTCCATAAAACCTTGGCACCAGCCTTCCTGACTTGGGGCTTTCCTCGTTAAACCGAGAGACAGGAGGTAGTTGTGTGGCTTTCAGAGGCCTAGCTGAGACAGACTAGTCTCCTCTTCCCTGAGGGCTCAGGGCTGAGACAGGCCTCTTAAAGTGAGGTTAGGAGGAGACATTGGGCTCTGTAGGGGAGAGGCAGGGAGGTAGCAATGACAATGGGTATGTGCAAGTTAGAACTCAAGAGTTCCAAAACTAACATGCCACGTGCACCTTTGTGACAGACTGTAGCTCCCCGTTTGGAAAAAAAAAAATCACAGCATTGCTGTACCCTTTTCATCTTCCACTTGAACTGAGTTTAGCCTCATTGCATTTTACTTTATCATTTGGGTCTTCTTGTCGTTTCATAGGAATAATGAGACATAATGCAGAAGCTGTTTGGAGAGAGGGGGAGGGGGAGGAGAAGGGGGAGGGAAAGAGGAAGGAGGAAGGGGAGGAGGAGGAAGAGGAGCAGGAGAAGGAGGAGGAGGAGGAGGAGGAGGAGGAGGAGAGAGAGAGAGAGAGAGAGAGAGAGAGAGAGAGAGAGAGAGAGAGAGAGAGAGGAAGAGAGGAATGAGGCTCCAATTTGATTTCCGATGTGTTAAAAAGCTGGGATCAAAATCTGCTAAGAGTCACCAGAGTGAGTACCCTGAAACAAATGTGCCTTTGATATTCAGACATACCAGCAGCTGGCAGCTTTCCTCGGGTAAGGCCTGGACCAGACAGTACAGCTTAGCATGGGGACAGTCTAAACTCAGGCAACCTGTTTTTTGCTTTCCCCAAGTCACTTGTAGTGTGGAACTTTCTGTCTGGGTCTTCTAGATCATCACTTTTAGAGACACTGAAGGAGAATGAATAGCAGTCAGAGAGAGCATGTGCAAGTTCTAATCAGATGTATGCGAACGCACGTGGAAAGTCGGGGTGCTGACTGCCGGGTTCAGTGGCTACAAAAAGAAAAACATCTCTAGAAATGCCCATGCATCTCTATCACACCCTCAAACAGTAGCTTTGGTAAGTTCTATTTTGAGGAGAAAATATCTAGTAGGATAAAAAAAGTCAAGTGGTCACCGGTGGATGCCCTAAGGAGTAGGAGCCACTGTAAGGGTCAGTGAGCTGATCATAACTTTCAGATGAATGAAATTGCAGCAAGAAGGAGCAGCAAGGACAATATTCCTCTTCACCCAAGTAACCTATGCATAAGGACACAGTGAGTCCTACTTATTTTTACAACACTGAAGTGCTCACCCAAGTTATGCTCCTCACGTAGCAGGCTAGAGCAAGGACCTACTCAGCTGTCCCTCTTCCTTCCCACTCACAGAGTCACTTGTTCCCTTATTACACTGTGTAGGTCATGTGCCAGTTGTACTATGATGAGGAGCAGCTTAGGGTGGAGAGTGAGGTCAACTTCAATTCTCTGAATGGCAGTCTTCAAGAGGGAGATGTGACAATGGAAGCCCCTTGTTGATGGGTAGCTGAAGACATGGAGGTTAGAGACAGAAACTGGTTAGTATAACACCTGGCTCATGGTAAGTGCTAAAGCACTGTGCTCTGGGTTATATTTACTGCCTGCATCCATCAATAAGCAAGCTAATGACCAGGCTGTCCCTGAGGTCTCTTTCAGCTCTAACAGGCTGTGCTCGACACTTTGCTTGCAGCATTTAAAAGTCGATTTCTAGAATGTGTGTGGATGCCTTATGGAACCCAACATCTGGGCAGGGGAAGATAGAAATGGCATTTCCCTCTCTGCATTATAGATGACATGATTGATGGACCCCCCCCACCCCACCCCCAGCCCCTACTTCTTATCCTCCAAGCCTTGGACTGGAGCTGTTGCTTTTAACTGGGAAGATATCACACTGAATTAGTAGTAAATGTAATTAAGAACTCTGACAGTCAGCTTCCTGAAAGCCCTCCTACTGGAACACAGCTGAGCAAGAGTTCCTGCTCTGCCTCTGAATTAAGACTTCTCCAGGGCTTGCCTATTTGTGTTTATGTGAAACACAGCTCATTATAATACCAACCTTGGTTATATGCCAGCATAAAATCTATGCAAAGATCCATACATGACATTGTACATTTTCTTCAAAAATAACGTTTTATCTACTGCATACCTAGATATGCCATGATCTTTGATAAATATATTTCATGCCAAACCTCTTGCTTTCTCCTGAGCCTCTGCAGGTAATATAATTTAGAGTAGTTTCTGGAGTCTGAATTCTAACTTAGTTGATGCTGTCCTCAAAGCCAACAGGTTTCCTACAACCTATACCACTCTTCAAATACACCAAAGTCGTGAATATGTAATCACGTGATGTGATGTCCCCACCACAAATCTAAGACTGATTTCATGAATGAATTGAGCCACAGTATTTGATCCAGTTAGATATTTTCCCATGAAACACAGCCTCAAAAATGTCCTCAGTGAGCTCCTGTATCTGAACACTTGGGACTTTGTTGGTGGTTCTGTTTGAGAAAGTTATGGAACTTTTAGGATGTGGCATGTCACTGGAGGAAGTACATCATTGAAAGCCAGCTTTAAGAGTTTATGGCTTTGCCTCCCTTCCAACTCTCTCCCTGCTGTGTTCATGGTGCAGATGGCATGCTTAGCTTCCTGCTTCTGCCACAGTGCTTGCTGCCTGCTGCCATGCCTCCTCATCGTAACGGACTTTTCTCTATTCAAGAGAGTTCACAAAAATAAAGGCTTTCATCTCTAAGTTGCTTTTGCTCTTGGTATTTTATTACAAAAACAGAACAACAGCTAAGACAAAATATTTTGTATATTTTATAAAATATTTTATTTGATGTTCACACATGTATATTTTCAGCAGGGGCATTACCAATTCCTTCCCTTTTATTCCTCTTCCTTTTCCCTCCTAACCTTACGTGCTATTTCTCTTTTGACAACTAAACTTTAATACTCACTGAGTCTGTTTAGAGCTGCCTATATGTGCACGAGTGTAGGAGCATCTACTAAAGCCTAGGGAGCAAACTCATCTCCCCTAGTCCTTAGGAAGCAAAGATCAGTGTTACTTTACCCAGTCACTCTGAAGGGCATTTGACAGAGGACAGATGACATCATGAGAATAATGAGGGCTTTGGAGTCAACTAGTTCTACTTCATTTTTCAACAAATATTTACTTAGCATATGCTCTATGCCAGACACAGCTCCAGTGCCAGAGGCAGCCTCCCTGCCCAGCTCCTACTTTAGGGGCAGGGTGCCCAGTACCAGTTAGTCTGTAACCTCAAGCAAATCATGTAAGCGTCCCAAGTTTGTTTTTGTTTTTCCATTTGTAAAATGGCATTTTAATAAGATTTGTTGCTAGAATTAGATCTGGCTGTGCCTAAAGTTTCTACCATACAGTAATAACAATAAAGTCTATGTAAGTCAACACCATATAACATGACTGAGCATATTTACAATTATGTTATTCTGGATGAATATGTGAATTATTTTTCAATCCTTCTCTCGGCATGGTTTTAAAGCTACAGATATAAAAGCATTATACTTTAGAATTGATTTTTTTATTTTTGGAATTTTATTTTTCTTTTAAAACTTGTTTGTAAGTGTGGGCACGTGTATGTGTGGATGTGTGTGGATAATATATATGTTCTGTATGTATGTAGTATATATGTGTGGTTTGTACATGTGTGTATGTATGGTATATATGCTCTGTGCATAGAATACATGTGTGGTGTATGTTTATATGTTTGTGCATGCATATAAGCTGTGTGCACGTGTGTGAACGAAAGTGTAAGTGCCAAAGGCAGAAGAGAATGTCTGGTACCCTGATTTATCACTCTTTGTCTTTTCCTCTTGAGAGAACCTGAGACTAAGCTAGCAGGCATCAAGCCTCTGGGATCCTCCCATCTGGCTACCTCAGTATTCTGTCACCTTCCACACAACATACCTAGCCTGGGTCTAATATCATCCAGTTATTTCTACATCGGCATAGAAGCAAAGGTAAAGAGAAAAGGACTAGACTATCAGTCCTACCTCCATGTGCTGTTATGCATGGTTATTTATTTCCTTTTTAAATGGGAAGATGCAACACTGGTCTAGGTGAGATGTAAACTGAATATGTTAGACCATAGCTCAAAATTACA